TCCAGCCCTCGACCTTTAACAATTCAGATGTCGATTACGATACGCCCAGAAACGATATGTTTTGTACAAGAAGATTTAGATTTTTCAAAGACCGTTTTCTAGCTTAAGAAGTTGAAGTTGAACATAGCATGGAAGGTTAAAGGTTACAATTACGTGCATCTAATCACGTAGCACCTAATCAATTACCTGAAACGGTCCAGCCCTCGACCTTTAACAATTCAGATGTCGATTACGATACGCCCAGAAACGATATGTTTTGTACAAGAAGATTTAGATTTTTCAAAGACCGTTTTCTAGCTTAAGAAGTTGAAGTTGAACATAACATGGAAGGTTAAGGGTTCCCATGAAAGGTTTGCTCCTCTCGAAACGTTGTTACGCGTAACTTTTTGTCGAAGCACGGCGGTCGGGAGACAATCTCGCTAGAAAGCGGCTCTTGGCGGAACAATAGTTTCGACCAGTAATCTCGGACGGTGTTTTAATCTAAAAGAACCCCGGGTACGCCCCTGATTGCATTGCATAGTAATCTTAGTTTTTACCGTGTCTCGAGATTGGTGGAGGGGCCGCGTTTTACGCCCGGTACACCATGCACCGGGTGATATTGGGGTCATGCCGTTCCGCGACCCGCATTATACACGCCGTCACGTATAATCCCGGCGAAAATAAGGGGACGAAACGAATCCGATGGAAAAGAAATGCCTCGAAGAAATATTTGAAAACAACTTCGTTCGCCGCGTTTTAAAAATCGCCCGTCGTGTCGCGGCCCGTTCGACTAAAGTCGCCGCAAGATCTCTGCTGTTCACCAACCCCTATCGTAAATTCGACAAATTGTAGTAATTGTCGGGGATGTTTACGAATTATCGCGTTATTGCGTTCGCCAATTCTTCGAGCGTGAAGATTGAAATATTATTGTATGGTCGGAATCGAACACCACCGTTTTATTCGGATAGCGAACGAGGAATAGAAATGGCGGTCAATGTCCCTCTGTTCGGCGTGGACCTTGGGATCGTATTCGAATTTATTCGATCGACGTGGGTAAACGAACAAGCGTCTCGTTTCTTCTCCCCTATGATGTGAGTGTTTCGGAAATTATTTCGTGCAGATGGTCGCTACCACGATAAAATCTGAAATATAAGAGTACGTAAATGTAATTAAATTTCATTCGAAACTTTTCAACCGTGGTGTACGTTATGGATTTTTCAAAATCTCTATTACCGTAGAGTTTGGAACAAGCGTTCGAAGACGCCGTGCATAACCAACGACACGAAATGCGCAGAGACGAATAAACGAGAGGATTGCAATCTTCAACGCGATATAGATGAGTAAGCTAAGTGGGATAGGGGCTGTGACGCGTGAAAAGTCAACAGTGTCGAGTGCCAGCGTTGGCAAAACTTCGTATCCTGTTAACAGGATTATTGTAGGACAACCTAGTTCCAAAGTCCCAAAGTAAAATGATCCGTTATTATACGTGATACCCGCTTGCGCCTTATCGTGTAATTCTCTGTACGCTTGTGTAACGTTTCGAGTAAAATCGAGGCCGCGGGAACAATTAGCGGAATAATTAATTCAATTGTTTTCGAAGCTCCGCCCGAGGAACGCGCGATGAACAATTATTCTGTCGAATCGCGCAGGAAAATAATATTTATTACAAATGATTCGAACGAAGCCCACCTATGCGGGAAATTTGATGAAAACGCGAAAGTTGCGTTCCCCCGCCGATCATATTTTGCCAATTATTCCAGTAATTTGTAAGTGATGTGCACAGTGAATCAAAGCATGCATTATATCGCGCGCGATATTAAAAATACCAGAAGCCAACCTTTATGGAGACGGTATTATTATTCACGAGATAGTTACAGAGGGATTTCCAGCGATCAATTAATAGCTCCAAACGAGAAATTCGCGCTCCGGGCGATGCTGCAACGATTCACTTGTACAACGCTCTGAAAACGTACTCGTTAAATGTATATTAAATTATTAATTATTCGCAATGTTAATTATTGCAATAGTTTTACGGGTCGAGGGAGTTTAAAGAAAAGAGTGTCAAATACGTAGGTAGCTGTTCAGCAGACTACTTATTTCCAGGCTTTGAAGAAATCGTGAGAGCCGCGAATGGCCGGGCTATTGGATTTTTTCTCGAACGTAATCAAGTAGTAAGTGGCGCTCCAAGAACTAGACAACACGAGGACCCGAACAGAAACTCGATGTTAGGTATGAAAAGCATCGAGAGGAACGGTCTAGACTGTTCGCCGTAGTCCGTCCATCGATATATCGGTTTTCAATAAAACGGAACCTCGAAACACGACGCAGAATTTCGTCCATTAAGCACGATGACGAATATGGAATTAAATTTATCGGGTTCTCCTTTCCGCCGCGGACCGTACCCGAAAGCTCTTTCGCGTCTTGTTTCGACCGTAGTTATAACGTTTCTGCTACCGCGGAATATTACCCGATAAATTACTCCCACTTCGCGAGGTAATAACATTTTTCCGCGCAAAGACCCGTCGCGTGTGATATAACTCTCAATCACGTAGCCTCCATGTATCATGCGCGCGACTCGCATTACGCTTGTCGTATTTCCCCCCCGCGGGCCAAAGACGAATCCAACGAGACGTCCAAATGACAAGAAAAATCGTCGATTTGTTAAACGGAAACGATTCGCGAAGGGAAAATTGTTCGATTCGTAGCCACGGAAAATAGAAAACGGTCTCGTCGCAATTTGCCAGAATTTATTTCCCATCGTTTCGTGCGCCATAAATTTCAATTCTAAAATACAAAACACGTATGCATTTAATACCTCGAGGGCGTGCCTCTGGCATCGATCGTAATCGATTTGTTAAAATAGAGATACTTGAATTAGTTAATTAATTTCATCGATTCGAGTGAAAGAGGTATTAAAAAATGATTTATCAAATATTTTCCGGCTGGACGCGATGAAAATAAAATTCCGCGACGCGAATACACGCTCGATCACGGTCAATTAAAGCGTATTTAATCGTAATCTATCGAACGCGTTCGAACGAAGGCCATTTAAAATTTTCTACGAGGGAACGAAATTTGCCGCCATTGTCCGGTTTATTCGCGTCGCGTGTGGAAATCGACGAGAATAAGGGAGCAGCGTTCAGGACGATCGTCTTGTAATTCCGTTGATTATACACAAGTTCGTGCTTGTTCGTTGTATAATCGACGCGTGGCCAATGAAGCCACTTCGAGCACCTACAATAGTTGGAGCAACGTCAATTGGCCACTCAAGGACACTTTGGACCCTCCCACCATGGATCGCGTCAGACGCGTCTACTACTGTCACGTGATCCTCGTTTGCATAGAGCTATTCAATGCAAGCCGAGGGACTTTCTACCACTTTGTCCCCGTCAGCCTGGTACAAGAACGTTGCCTGATGACACGTTGTGTATTCATGACCAATACAAACACGATACAGCACGCAAAGAGGGACGAAGCTGCGTGAGGCGCTCCATCCGTGGACACCACTGACCCAAAGCCAAACACGTACCAAAGACAGAGCGGCTGGAGGGGATAAACAAATACTATGGTGGGAATTTGAAGCCCCTCGAGCGCTCCAAACATATCCGATCGTACTAAAATTTTGCTCGAACAAATTTAATACGCCTATACATTTATAGTGACAGTTATTTGGATTCCTCAGACTCATCGTATAATTTCGATCAAATTCTTCAATACGAGTTCTTTTCATTAACCCCTTGACGTACGCTAATGATTATTTTCAAATTTCTAGAGAAGCATTGTTTATATATTTAATCTAAGCCAACCTCTGTCCTCCTGTAATGTATGGTTTTCTTTTATCGATAGATGGATACAGATAATCTAAATCTAGATATATATCCTAAATGTATTGTGCATCTATATGTGCATCTATATGTGTTGTTCATAATAAAAAAAAGACATCAAGAACTTATAATAAGTCAGACTCGTCGTTGTACGACAAGGGGTTAACCGTTTTAAAAACCTGAAACCGATATTTTAACTGTCTTTGAGCCCTGTAATTACCTGGTATTGAACGTCGATAAAAAAGAAGACAATTACGTACGTATTTCGCTCGCGAGAAAGGGAAGGATAAATTTAACGACACGACGGACATTTTGTAGGATGAGTCGGATGACAGATGTCAAACTGAGTGTCGTATAATTACGTTGTTACAATGGGTGTACATTACTCTTCAGTCTTCTTGACGGCCACATTCGCCAACAGCCTCCCCCGTTCCACGCGAACTGCTTGTACAGATTTCATTACCGCTTCTACCGCGGCTTCATAATTACGGGGAGGATGGGTAGTCGTTAATTGCACAGAAAGCCGGCACAATTCGCTTCCGTCGGTATCTAACAACGGCCGTTGGAACGATACGAACCTTGGGGGTTCTCGCGAACACCGTGTCCCGGAGCCAGCTACGATAAAATATGGATCTCGACGAATCTGCGGCCGATACTCGACCGCGTCGTACGTTCAAAGCGATTTAATTCGATGTGAAAACTGCGACGACCGTGGGAAATTCGAGAACGGGTTCGACGCCGATATCAAACGCGGAGACTGATAGAGATTCCGTGTAATCTGGAATTTTTACGACAGGCTCGTGAAAACTTTCAACCTCCCGGAGCTTCCTCGTTATATTTTGACCCAAATGTCTCTGTCAGCGAGTAATAGTTTCATTAACGGGGGCGTTGATCGCTCAGGCACACGATCGGTTTCAAGAGAAGCCGTCATTATCTGGTGGACGTTCTAATCGTATCGCGACGCGGTAATTGCTCTACAGGTTGTCCCACGCAGCTAGGACCGGCTGTATCTTCGAAACTGTTCGACGTGGATAAAAGTACGAACCGAATGGTATCGAATATGCGAGGTGACAGGGCTCGAATTAAACTGTCGATATTTATAATTGGTTACGATATACGGTAATTTTCTCTGTTGTGAGAAAACAGTTACAAAACGATGCGGATTAAGTACGATTAAGCAGTCGAAAAATGACTCACCGAAGCTTTTCACCGTGGGCGAGATGGAGGGTTGCGCGCACAGGACGTGCGTGCCTCCCAGGAGCGTCAAAACGAGTCGAAAAAACTTCATAGCGATCATCGTTGCGTCGCTATTCCATGGAACTTCTGAAACAAACAACCAGAAACCCTGTGAGAATTGAACACGTGCATCTGAAAAATTATAGATACAATCGATCACGGAAATGTTGGCTAGCAATTAGGCAAACAGTCTCCATTCGAATTTAAATTCATTTTCAATTAAATAAACAATTTATAAATAATTAAAGTGGGACACTTATAAATTAGTTCCGTTCACAGGATATCTCGTTAAATTAAACACTGAATCTACCGACACTTCATGTATAGCCATTCTTACCAAGATATAGTACTTACGCTATTATCCTGTATATAAATTTAAATTCATTTTCAATTAAACAAACAACTTATGATCCAGTTTTATCGCACACCGGTCGTATGATCAATAGAAATTGTCTAGGTATATAGTGTGAAAGTAAATGTCAAAATAAACATAGAAGACAGGATAAATAATAATAGTTCACAAAGTCATCGGATAGAGGATGAAATACCCTTTAAAATGAGCGTTCGAACAAGTCGATAGCGTTATTAGTTCCGGAGATATAGCGATTTTTGTTTCAAGTCGACCGCGTAGCCAGTTACGAAAGCGCGAGGTCAATGACCGTACGTAAGTTGTAAACAGTGAGTAAATTGTTAAATCGATCAAGCCAGACTGCATACTTTTCTCAAAAAACAAACAATAAGAATAGAAGTGAATATTGAAAGATTCATTGCACATTTACTATAAATAACTATAAAATAACATTGTAAAGTGTAAACGAAACTTTAAAAACGTTCGTTTGACCGGCCATAGTAGGCGTAATGTTAACAATCGTGCCACGAATTTGGATCAACCGTGAGAAACTGCGGTAAGTAAAAGAAGTAAACGTCAGTATATTGCAAAAATCCAAACTGGATTAATGACACAAGAAAATAGGAGGCAGAACGCGTAATCCAGCGACCGTGCTCGCGTTTCGAGAACGGGAGAATGTACATTCAGGGTTAATATCCCTTCGGGTGTTGGCTCGAAAACCATAAGTCAAGATCATTCTAGGTAACACTCCGTTCATTTCCTGGCTTCGTTTGGAGACACGGCGCGACGCGAGGACGCTCAGAGCAAACGGGACTCTATCTCCGCAGCTCAGAATCTCTTCCGTCCCTCCAGGGTTAGTTCGCCGTGCAACCGGTGTTCTCGTGGCTCGATTCACGGAGAAGCATTAATATGCTTCAGCCGAGCCCATTCCGTGCTTCGTTACTGTAGCTTCTTAGGCCTGATAAGCCTCCGAGGAGCGACGGGGACGCTCTCGTCGCCGGCAAATCTATTTTAAATTCCCGCGTCGCCGCGTTCCACCTTTTGCCAACCCTCGAGACAGTTCTTCCCGTGCTAGCGCGGCGAGGTGTTTTCGCTGGCGTCGATCGCGTAGTATATTAATTTCCGATAAATCAAGCCGCTGCCAGCGCGCTACCCATACCCCCCCCCCAACCCCCTTCGACTTCTTATCAGAGACCCGCAACGCCGAGGCCGCCAGCGATCCGATCGGTGTATCAGAATCTCATTTATCTGGAAAACGGTTTCCACTGCCGCTTTATTTTCCTTGCGTTTCTCCTCGGAGAACGAGGAAGATCGTCTCGAAGGAAGATCGGCTTTCGGGAAACCCCGTCGGTCGGTTCGACTATCGCGTTTGAATTCAGCAACGCAAGCGTTTGCTTCTCCCACGAGGGTTCCTTCCTTTCTTCGGAACACGCGCGTCGATGAACGCTTTCGTTCCTTTTCTGTCCCGCGCCGCTGGTTTCATTTAATGAAGGTCCGTCGCCAGGCGAGTGGAACGGGTCCTCTGTAGCCGATTCGAACCGATTCGAATCAGCAAAAGTTCCGTCCCGAGACGGCAAACAGAATTTTTCGCGATCCCGGAATCGATCGTTGTTGCAAGGTGAAACGACCCGATTCGAAAACGCCGGGGATTGATTACTATTTCTAATAGTCGTTACTTTTCTATATGTGATATTACTCTCATGACGCGGAAACAAAGAAAGGAAGAGACCTCGACTTAGTAAAGTAGTATTTTCTTAGTGCTTCTTCTTTCTCGTAATCTTTAGTCTCATCCGTTTGAATGCAATATTGATCGTTAATTAGTACTTTTAAACGTAGCGTTAGTAAAAGTTTGCAATATAAATTCAAGATCGGGGTCGATTGTAACGTTACTATTAGAGCAGAATATGAAGAAAAAGAAAGTGTTAAAAGAAACAGACATAATTCGAATTTGAAAGAAAAGGTGATAAAAATACATTTTCCATTTTTTACTAATAGAATACATTTTATTAATCTAATTTTTATTCCAAGTGTAATACTTTTTGAATTATCGTATTCCAGAGTCAAACTGTTACTATTGACCCCGGTCTACCCCTGGTAAGAATGCAAGTTCGGTCGTAGACCGAGGAAATCCCATTTCGTCGGACAGGTTTCCATCGACGCGGAAGAGACTGGTGGGAAGTGGTCGTGGAAAAGCTTCGTTAATGCTCGAACGCGATCAAAGGAATCGTTGAAACCGATCGGGGTCATAAATCATGACCAACGGGAACCGGGGAGAATAAATGTCCTGTCTGACTGGTGGTTGAAAGACTCTGCGGCGGGAACAATATACGATTAACTTGTGTGACGTATCGACTGGCAATGGGGACGCGTGAGAATAAATCTCTTGTCATTCACAAGCTTTTAGTTCGCAGGAACCGTATCGCTTCATGCTCGGCTCAGCTACCCGAGATAAATCCGCGGCTCACGACACGAGTCGACTAAACCGTTTAATCGTGTAACCAACTATCGCGCGAACCCCGAAGTCCGCCAAGAATTTTTTTTACGCCCCTCGAAACCGGAAGTGGCGGAACCGCGTTCCACGGGACGACCGGCCGGACCGTGCCTTAGCAACCGCTTTGTTATCGGTTTAAGTTTCCGACGCCTTCGGAACTCCGCAAACTTCATCCGACAGTTGGAAAAGAATTCTATCCTATTTCGATGGTAATGTTTATCGATCTTCATTTGCAACTTTCTCTGGACGAATAGTCGGGGCGTCCTGAAACCGGATTCCTCTCGCTAGAGATCTTCCGTGGGGTTCGTTGCAGAGTTCTCGAGTTTTCGAAGCCGATTATCGAACTCAAAAACCGTGCAAATGCAACTTTAAATTATATTTGAGAAAACGTCTGGGGTAAAACGTGCAACGGCTGAAGACCTTGTTCCTAGTATGCGTGTTGTACAAGGGTAGCGTAGAAGGAACTAGCCCATTTTTCAACGTCCCTTGTACGGTGCATGAATTGCCGTTGAGTGCGGTTCTTTCTTAGTTAGCTGCCATTTTCCAGCAGTACCTAGGCCCCTAAGTAACGTCCACAAAACGGAATTGTGCTAGCCACGTTGTTAAGACTGACATTGTTCAGCAGCAAAAACCCAACAACGTGTCTCTAAAGGCTAGTCGTGACATCTGTTGCACATGTGCGTCCCAGGTTTTAATATTCAGACCTTGTCAATATATTCTATCCCACTAAATAAGAGAAAAATGTTTATAAACATAGTTTATTTAAAGCTTTATTGAAAAGTTATAACACAAACAAGTGAAATAGTACTGCGAGCTTTGGCTCGAGTAGAACAACAATATATGCATTTCGTGTGTTTATGTAAGCTATATTTGCTACTCGAGGTCACCAAAGAATTTGAAAATAATTTTCACCAGTAATAGCTATTAGTAACTTGTTGGACTTCACATCAAGTCAATTCATGTCGTTATAAATTCGATCTTTGACATTTTAAAATGGAGTAATTATTTAACTCTGGAAGTACATTGATCAATACGAGCCAAGTTGGTTACTATTCAACTTGTATATCGTATATCTGTTATAACTTTTTAATAAAGCTTTAAATGACCTACGTTTATACAAATTTTTTCCTTATTTAGTGCCATAGAATACACTGACAAAGTTTGGACAATAAAACCTGGGTGCACCCTGTAGAATATTGTAGTCGTATAGAATTAATTGCACGCATTCAACGTCTCAAATAAAGTGGTATATTTTATGTGAAATACCGAACAAGGACAGCGTGGTTCCAGTAATTCTCGGAACTAGAAAAGTCTCCGGAAATGCACGGGACGCGAATCGCGGCGCAAAAATCGTTCGCGAGCCCCGTCGAAATATTCCTCGAGGATATTCTTGCGTGGTCGTTCGAACGAGAATCTATTTCGCCCGAAAGCCAAACCGCTCTTTGCGCGAACAAGAAATGACACCCGGTATCGGACGAACCGCGGGCGAGCATAACGCGACAGCGCTCGAGAACACAATGCTCTCTGAAACAAGTAAGCGTGGTAGCGGGGGTGGAACGCGATTGTACGTTCACCGGGCGCGGTGTGCCGCTGTAAATTCGAGCAACCGTGAATAGGGGATGACTAGGTTCTTCGAAGCATGCATTTTTGTAAAATATTCATGCGCGTGCCTGTCGCTGCCGAGTCAGAAACCGTAACCGCCCTTGTATCGCGGCTTTCGAGCAGAGAGCACGAGTTAGGACTGCTTCCCCCGGGGTGGCACCAGCTTCTCCACCGACGCGACCCCCACCCTCCACCCTTCCTACGAACCAGACGCCAGAAATCCCAAAGACAAATAGGCCGAAATTACGCTAATCTTCTTTGCAGATGGATAAAAATAGAGCTTCTCGATACGCGAGACGAGGTTGAAACGTTTTTCCCGGTAATTTGACACGGTGCTGCAGGTTGATGCTGATTGCTAGTTTAATGGGGAACGATCGACGCTATTATCGAGATAGATCCGTGTTGAATGCGGATCCGGGGCAATTTACGAAAGCGAAGTTTGTCACTCACGATACGAATTATTTCAATTTTATGAAAAGAAATACAGTAAACATGTATGACATATGCAGTATGTTTCGGCATATATTTTTATTCAAAGTATGCAAAATAAAAAATATATTTTTGAGGACCTCTAGTGATGAAACAAACTTCTATTTAGATTTCACTCTGCTATCTATTTCCTAGAAACATATGCATTTCCATAAA